TGTGTGTGTGTGTGTGTGTGTGTGTGCGTGTAACATTACATGTTGTTACATCTGTTCTGTTTTAATCTGATAATTATCTTATCATCTTGCAACAGCCTGTATTTCTTTCATTAAAAGACCAACAAATAATACCAGTATAATAACGTAAACGTCAAGAAACGATTCTCATTCCTAGTTCAATCTGAAATGATTTAACTCCTTACAGTCTGTGTTACTTCGGCTGTCTGATTTCAGCTCATCTGTCAAATGTTCAGAGAGACAAGCAGCTAATATGACAATATGACAGCCAGCCACACACTGATCGGAGAGACTCAGGCATGTTACCACATAGCTATAATATTATATGCTTATGTTAAGAGCAGTACATCAATAGAACAAATAGTGGGAAACATCCTGCAACAGCTGCAGGGTTGAACAGAATCAGCATGAATGATTAACTTTAAACAGGCCTCTACAGGAGGAACAAGCGTTAATGTTCATAGCGTACATCATGACTGTTACATCGCAAAATAAGTAAATAGAGAAATATCACCTGTATCTCCTGTGCTTGCCATTTTCCACGATCTGATGCAACAATAACAATAAAACCTGACAGGAAATCACAATGAAACACGGGACATGCACGAATCAATGCTGGTTGACGGATCTCTAGAACATTTACACAGCTCTCCTGTGTGTCTTATCATATACAGATCCGATGTTCTTCTACGCCGAATAATACTTCCGGGCAAATATTAAAGCTCACTTCGCTCCAAAATAAAAGTCACATAATAAATACTTTTTATAATAATGAGCAATTTTAATAATTAATTGCTTACAATAAACATTTCCATTATAAATGTAAACATTGAGTATAATCATACAACTAGACTTAAATTTAGATTTTTTTCATTACAAAGGTATAGGCCTAATATAGATATCAAACACTCTGAAATGTGTGGGTTTGCAGAACTTGTAGTTATCATTAGTTACTTAAGTTATTAGATTAGAATGTCACTTTTTTGTCAATTTTTTTGTCAATTTGTAAACACAGACAGACCACTAGGGGGAATCCAAGTATAACCTCAGGAGGGTGAGTAAACTGACTGTATTGTCATTTTGGGTGAACTATCCAGTTTAAACTTAGAAGTCTTACAAAATCACATGCAAATGAATAGAATTAAGGTTTTACGTGTAACCTGTCTGATTATGACATCTTACTAGAAAGGAAATCTGTCTGGTTTATTAGGCCTATCACAGACAGTAATAGTGTGTGTGCAGCAGCTTCTTAAGTTTGTGAATTTGTATGTAAGACATCACTTGCCAGGAAGCACAGTTTGCTTTGTTCTTTCTTTGTTGTTGTACTATTACACTTAGCTTAGTTGCCACGTGCTATATTCACAATTTCATGGCATTTGTTATAGGTCAAGGACCCTGTCAACCAGCACTTATCTTTGGATTGTGACTCCAGACAGACTACAGACCCCTAACCTCTATGACAAGGGCACAGATTGCTCGTAGCTGTTGAAGGCCAGACGACACGGACCTCTCCTCACAGAATGCCAATGGAATGTACGTGAGTGACGGACCCCACA